TTCTATCTGGCATATCTTCTGGCATTCTATCTGGCATATCTTCTGACATTCTATCAGCCATATCTTCTGGCCTTCTGTTTGGCAAACATTCTGGCGCTTTATCTGGCATATCTTCTGGCATTCTATCTGGCATTCTATCTGGCATATCTTCTGACATTCTATCTGACATATCTTCTGACATTCTTTCTGGCATATCTTCTGACATTCTATCTGACATCTTTTCTGACATTCTTCCCGTTGAGGTCCGGCAGTGCCCACTGCGATCTGGAAGTCGCGGTTGGGGTCCGGCAGTGCCCACTGGGATCTGGAGCTCGCGGTTGAGGTCCGGCAGTGCCCACTGCGATCTGGAAGTCGCGGTTGAGGTCCGGCAGTGCCCACTGCGATCTGGAAGTCGCGGTTGAGGTCCGGCAGTGCCCACTGGGATCTGGAGCTCGCGGTGGAGGTCCGGCTGTGCCCACTGGGATCTGGACTGCGAGGAGGAGGCGGCGGGTGAGGAGGCGGAGGAGGCAGAGGAGGCGGAGGAGGGCAACCCTCACCTGGCAGGTGGGGAGAAAAGACTAAGAATTTGACACACATCACATCATGAGTGACTAAGCAGATGGGGATCGATCCTCCAAATGACCCCAAAAAAAAGTGACCTGAGCTGAGCCAGGCGGAGCTGAGGGAGCTGCGCCACGTGGATCTCCATTGCTACACTGCCCTGGTGCACGCCTGTGGCCAGGGAAAGAAATGGCAATCAGCTTGCGCTCTCCTGGTCCCTCGACCTGCTCGGCCTCGGCCTGGGCCTCGAGAGTTGATGGATAGCCATGGGGATACCTTGATGGATGGATGGCGGTTGAGGATTTGGGTCATTTGGGTCCCAAATATGGGGGATGGACATGGATTGAAAGCCTGATTTCATGGGATGATCTTTAGATAGCTGTCGGTTTCATCAAAGGTTGAGGAATTTAAAATCCTGGTCAAAGAGGGATTTCTTCATGAACTCTAGAGGTGGACATTTGCCAGCCAGGATGGATTGCCAAAGGCTATCCATACAAGCCAACAAACAGCCGTGGAGACTGATGGGACAACCCTACCAAGATGATGATTCCTGCGAAACACTTGTTCTAGCCCCCGGGGAATGTTAAAGAGAGGGTCACACAAAAGAACAATCCTTTGTGGACGTTAGGTCGTTTGGCCCTTACTCTCTGGTAAATTAACATAGACCCTGAAAACAACCCATTTTTAGTGGAAACTAATCTTCCAACCCCTATTTGCCAGGATCTATGTTAATTTGCTGGAGGGTAATATGAATATGTTCATTTTGGTAGTCAAAGAGGTGAACTTCGCCTCATAAGTCCTCAAAATTCTGTGTCCCACATGTTTATTTTCACGGGAAGATGAGGAGTCCGATTCAGCCCAAGAATCAAAGTGGACCAATGGGAAATTAGCAAACCCTGGTTGTTTACGGATCGGGGCTACCCAATGAATATCTATCCATTCATTCTTGGGGTTAAGTACGCAAGGTTAGTACTAATTCACTATAACATATTGTTATATTTAATGGTTAATTACATGTTAATTTAATTGCTTTGAAAGTTCTTAGGTCTCATTTCACCGCCCATATTTCTTTTATATAATTATATATCTGGTTGGTGGTTTGGAACATTTTTTTATGTTTCCATATATGGGAGAATCCTTCCCATTGACTAATATTTTTCAGAGGGGTAGGTCAACCACCAACCAGATCCATTTCTCACTAAGTCTGGGATATTATTATTCTTCCTGGATGGGAGTGATTAATAATGATTTATTAATAATGTTATTATATACACAATGATACACATATTTCTTCAAAGCCTGGTGACTCATCGAGGCTTCCCCAAAACCAAAAAAAACCGAGGACCAGGTGCCGTGTCCGGATGCCGCCCTCTTCCACTTGGCCATGTCGGCATGTTGGTGGGAACATGCCCTGAGGCTGTTTCAGCGAATGGAAGAAGCGTCTGGGATTTGCGATGGCCAAGGATTTTGTCTGGTTGGTGGTTTGGAAAATGGCTCTTATTTTTCCATATTGGGAATAATCATCCCAACTGACTTTCATATTTTTCGAGGGGTAGGTATACCACCAACCAGATTTTGCGGTTGTGTTTGATCGGGAAATGGCATGAAATGAGTGTGTCTGAAAATGTGGTAGATCCCCATTAAAAGAGAGGATATTTGAAGCATAACATGGGGAGATGTTCCCAAATCACTATGTTAATTGGCAAAATATGGAGGTTTCCATAAATGTGATACCCAAAATTGGTGGTTTGTGATGCAAAAGCCGAAAATATAATGGATGATAACTGGGGGTACCCCAATGACTTCGGAAACCTCCATACAGGAATACGATGAAGCGTGAAGTTGAATGGGGGTAGCCGATGTTCAGTCAAAGCCATGGGGTATCATGGGGTGCTTGAGTATGTTGAGTCTATGGGTCTGTTTGACCAAACCCGATGGTTTACAGTACTTATCATGGTTTTATTCATTAAGATTGCTATTTTGATCCATTTTGGGTATTCCCTAATTTTTGGACGAAGCCAGATATGCATCATGGTCAAGAGATGGTATATATATATAAAGTATGGTCATTCAAATGCTTTTTGATAGGGGGATGATGATGGCATATGTGTTGTCATTGTTTGCGTGGAAACTTGAATCAACATGACTCAACAGTCTTCATGGTGTTTAGTTTTTTTTTTCTGGATTTTGTTTGGTTCATTCCCATTCATTCCCCTATTAGTTGGTTCCATGATGTTTCATCAGCCTTTAAATGTTGGTTGCTCTTTTGTCCATGATCCAAATCCAAGACTTGTGACAGCAAGGCTCAGTGCCAGCCGACCCTTGTGACCTTCAAAAGTCTCATGGGAACAACGAACGCTTGGCACCTATCCGCCTGGGCATGCGAGGAAGCTTGGCCTTTGATGTTCTGATGGTCCTGTCCGGCTGTGGAATAGTTGGGTATGTGTTGAATATGGGGAGTCGCACATGAATGGTTGAATACCTAAGATGACCAAACTTGTGATATCTCTATGTATAGACTATAGTCACAAGTATATCCATATATATATATATTGTATATTATATATAATTGCGCTTTATTTACACTGATATATGATTATACAATATTATGTATATATTTATGTACAGAGAAATACATAATATATATATACATATGTATTGTAGTCCCAGTTCTCCACATACTCACATGTAAGATCTATTTCAAACCGCAAGCCTCCACGAGGAGATGCTGTCAAGAAGCCTGGACACGGATTCGATCCCTGGCATCAGATCCTTCAGGTTTTCTTCGATGATAAAGGGGATGAGATGATCTCAGATGGGATGTGTTTCTTTTTGTTTTCGGAAATCCATTAATGAAATTGATAGGTTTTGTTCATTCCAATATGTGGTTGGTGAACTCCTTTTTTTATCCCTGGCGGATCCTCCCACTTAATGAGCCGTAACTGCTGAACGAGACAACCAGGCTACCAGGCTACCAGGCTACCAGAGAGGTGGGACGACACTGTATGGAATCATAGAGGTCATGATCCAGGGCTGCAAGCTATATTTTGGTATGAACAACAGGCTACCAGGGCTGGATCTGGCTGGAAAAATCTAAAATCTTGGGGAAGGGGGTTGATCATGACCCATTTCTAATGTTAACCCAGGCACACCCCCCCCGGGCTCTTTTCACTGGGAGTGTTTACCGGTCATTTTTTCGAAGCCCCACGGGGCCATCGAATGGATGGTCATTCTGAGTAGCCTCAACGTAGCGAACTGGAAATCACCATATTTTTGGGGGCTAAATCAGACTGATGGGCCGTGTGAAGTGATTCAGTTTCCAGTTCGCTATTATAAACCATAGTTATTAATATACAAATATCAAATGAGTAACATACTAAATTATCACTTAGTAAATTACCATGTTGATTATTTATAACCATAATTAATCACAGTAAATTACAGGATGAAGCTACCAAAGGTTGTCCCATACCCTGAACACATGGGATGCTCCCAACCCCCTTCTCTTTGGAGACGGTTACTTGGTCTGGTGATTGGGATAGGTTCGGATCGGTTACAGACCAGAACTGCTTCGATTTCGCACACACATATATATATATAATTAGAATTATATAAGCCATATATTTATATAATATTTAATATAATATTATTAATTATATATAATATATAATATATAATATTTTTATATATAATATATAATATTTTATAAAATATAATATGTTATAAAATATATAATACAAAATATAATTTGATATAATATAATATAATATAATATATATATATATTTATTTACTCTTAGAAACAAAGTTGGGAATGAAAATGGCTTCTGTGATCGCTTCCCCCAGAGATTTTATGGTAGAGACGCCCCAAATCTGTGGATTCTCATGCTCTTTGATCCACAGATACCTAGCCATCTGAGGGAGTTCCAGAAGACTATCGCACGAGTGGCTTGGTGGATTATTCATCTCAGAAGGTCCACACCATGGAGACCTTGATATTTGGATCATAGAATTGGATGATGGGAACATTTTAACCGGAAAGCCCTATATTTGATGGTATTTTTACCATGGTTTCCGGTTAAGATTTTCTCAAGAAACAAATCCATTTCCCCCCACCCTGTTTTGTGTTCGTTGTCTCCTAGACATCCACCAGATTTCATGATCCAATTACCCAAGCCCGTTGAACCAGGAGCTGTAAGGATGCCATTGTCGCCTTGACTTCAGTATCACAAGGTTGGAAAATTAAGGAAAATTAACCTAAAGGTATCACACTAATATGTAAAAACTTTAAGTACCGCCCGGCACTTGTGTTGATGAATGTGAAGTTCATTTTTTGGCTTGGCTGCGAGAATCATTAAAATCGATAAAGATGAATGTGTGTTTGTCTTGGACGCGGTCGAATGACAACACTAGTTGGTCGGCTTTTTCAACTCCGAATTATGATATGTTATGAACATCAAATTGTTTTCCGGTTAGTTGGGAAAATCCCTAAACAAATTCCACCCTTTGATCCTTGCTTGCGAAAATCATAGATCTCTGGTAAGTTAACACAGCTCTGGAGAATCAGCAGTTTTAATAGGTAAATCATCATAAATCAGCGAACCAATTGAGCAATGGCTTCCAATTGGCAACGTATTCAATAGAGAGTATACTAATTGTCCATATTTCATCCAGATTTAACCATTATTCAACCATCATTAACCATTATCAATTATTGGCCATTATCATGAGCCATTGTATGATCTTATCCCATTAAATACGCCAGAATTGTTGGTTAAAGCCAATAATATCCCAAGTCAGCCTATATCAACTATTAACAATGATTCATCATGATTAGCCTTTGTTAAATCCAGTTATAGTTATAGTTATACCCCAATTAATATCCCAATGAAGTCTGTATTGTTCATGGCTAAATCCCCTTTGTGATCTCCCACGGAAATCCATTAAGTTAAATAATGTTTCCATAATTAAACCATCTTCCCCTATTACTTAAAGATTGTATCAACCATTATTAGCAATTATCAACCCTTATTAACCATAGCTAACCATTACTGTAAGCATTATTATCCATTATTAGCCACTATTAACCATTATTAACCATTATTAACGATTCTGAACCATGTTAAATTACTACTTATTGACGGATCTTTTTTGAGGTGAAGCTTCTCTCGGCTAACCTCCCAACAAAGGCGACTTCACCACGCATTTCGCCCTTGGCCGAAGCAATGCTCGCAGAACCTGAGGTGATGCGTTGCAAGCAGATCGACTGGGCATAGGTTTTTGGTATCTGAAAAAATGGTGATTTCCTCAGAAACATTGTTATTTTACACTGTGAAACATTATGATTTTACGTTGAAATATGGTGATGTTAATGTGAACAATGGTGTTTTTTTTTGCGAAGAATGATGAAATTACTGTGAACAATGGTGATTTTACTCTGAACAATGGTGAATTTATTCTGCAAAATAGGAGCTTTGCATGAGAACGGTGCTTTTGCTATAATCATATAATCCAAGTAGGATTTTGCCATGAAGACTGGTGATTTTGCCAAAATTGGTGATTTATCAAACATGGGGTTGAACCAACACACACACACATATATATATATACAATCAAATATGTATATATAGATATAGGTAGATAGAGAAAGAGAGAGAGAGAGTGTGTGAACGTGAACCTACTATGAACAATGTGGGGAACAGCAATTGGAGGGGTAGTTTCGTACTTAAGATTCTGCCAGAAATGGGGAGATCATGGCTCATAATCTGTGTTTCTCTAGCAGCTCACTCTCTACTCTAGCTGTTTGACGAGTCCATTTGGGTGAAACCAGGTTATATTAAGACAGTACACTAGCATATCATTTTTCAAACATGTCTTCTATTTCAAACAGACAAGAGCATGTATTTCCCCACCTGCCAGGTGAGGGTTGTTAGATTTTATCAGAGTTGTTCTCCTCCTCCTCCTCGGCTAGCTGTCCTCCTCCTCGTCCTCGTCCTCCTCCTCCTCCAGTTTCTCCTCGACCATGTCTGCATCAACTTCCACCTGCACTTCCGCCTTGCCAACTCTTCGCCAAGCTCTTTCCAAACTCTCTTCGCCAAGCTCTTTGCCAACTTCAGGACCTCAACCTGGGACCTTCCCAGCTCAGTGTGCACCGCTGGACCTCAACTTGGGACCTTCCCAGCTCAGTGTGACCGCTGGACCTCAACCTGGGACCGTCCCAGCTCAGCGTGCACCGCTGGACCTCAACCTGGGACCTGCCCAGCTCAGTGTGCACCGCTGCACCTCAACCGGGGACCTTCCCAGCTCAGTGTGCACCGCTGGACCTCAACCTGGGACCTGCCCAGCTCAGTGTGCACCGCTGGACCTCAACGGCCAGATAGAATGCCAGAAGATATGCCAGATAGAATGTCAGATGGAATGCCAGAAGATATGCCAGATAAAATGCCATGAGATACGCCAAATAGAATGCCAGAAGATATGCCAGAACATAAGCCAGAAGATATGCCAGATAGAATGCCAGAACATATGCCAGAAGATATGCCAGATAGAATGCCAGAAGATATGTCAGAATATATGCCAGAAGGTATGCCAGATAGAATGCCAGAAGATATGTCAGATAGAATGCCAGAAGATATGCCAGGACATATGCCAGATAGAATGCCAGAAGATATGCCAGAAGATGTGCCAGAACATATGCCAGAAGATATGCCAGATAGAATGCCAGATAGAATGCCAGAAGATATGTCAGATAGAATGCCAAAAGATTTGCGAGTAAGAAAATGTATAAATGTCATGGTGGGGATCACACGAAGTAAAGTAATTCGATGTATTTTTTGAATTATTGCTGGATTATACTTTGCCGTGGCTTGACAACACACCCTTGAAGTATCTTGGGGGAAGCACCAAAAGGGGATCACTTGTGCTGATTGATGGACACATCCAAGAGGTTACCGCGTCTCGTGCGGTAAATTTAGAGAAGTATAGGCTGTAAATGGAGGTACCCCTAGTTATGGATGGTTTATAATGGAAAATCCTACTAACATGGATGATTTAGGGGTACTGTGCACCCATTTATGGAAACCTTTGTACTGAAGCTGGACACCAGCTTTCCCTGGCCTGCGCGTTTCGGTGGTGTAGGTGGTTGACTGTGAAAGGGTCATCAAGAACTACAAAGCCACTTTGGCGATTTTCAGCTGGCTGCAAACGCACAGGAAGTTAACATGAATTATTCCCAACCTTCATCCACTGCTGAAGGTGTTAAGGAGAATAATTTTTGGGATCTTGGGATGTATGGTCTTTGATTTCCACTCAGATTCTGGAGAACCATTCAAACGTCCTTGAAGGGATTACAATATGTATAGAAGAAGGGAAGACATTGCACATACGTTTTGCATTGTTCTTGTGGCAGTTGGTAACATGTTTTCAAATTTTAAGTTCAATAGCTGCACGTTCTGTGGCGCATTTTTCGTAACCAGAGCCCGTTCGCATTCATCGCCCAAAAAGGGGCCAGGTGAAGAGGTGCAGGGTCAGATTCTCTGGAGCTGATCGAAACAGCCCCGATTACCCCATGAATCCCATGTAGCTTGAGTCTGGCACCAGTGTTTACCCTCTGGTAATTTTACATAGCTATTGAAAATGGCCATTTATAGTGGATTTACCCACTATACAAAAATGGTGATTTTCCATAGTTATGTAAACGTTTACCAGAGGGTAACCCAGCTAACCGTCGCTTCATTTGCATGATTCTCTTGGATCATTTACATTAGTTGGTAGATGGTAAACATCCCATTATAATCTCATTATTTACCGTGTTTCATAGTTACTAATAGTTACCAACTGGTGCAGGGTTTCGCAACCATCCGCAGTATTTCCGGCAAACATGTGAGTAATTCTGTATCATGTCTCAAGTCATTTTTTGGAGTACTTCCTGGTCATTTGACAGCTGTGGAAAATCACCATGTTTAATCTCACTAAATCAGCCATTTTCCATAGCAAACGATGAAAATGCAACTTATGCCCCAGATACCAGGTACTAGTAGAAGTCAGATATAAGACATAAGTCAGTTATAACCCCATCACCCTAATATTAAACATCCCATAATAAATGGTCCCAATTATGTGGACATGACATCCACCATGGTTTCGTTTCGGGGTTGTTTCAACGAGGAGTCGGGAGACTGGGAATCCGCTCTGGGCGTCGTTGCCACGTTGTGCTCCCAACGGCACTTTGGCACCAAGGGCCAGGCCTGAGGCCATGGGGATTGGTTTCGTTCCGAAGCGCGATGTTCACTCCTTTGTGGTTTGGATATGCTATGAGTGGAATTTATCACTCTATATCTATATAACTATATATACATAACTATATATATATGTGTATATGTGTGGAAATGATATGGTGTGATTGGAGTTACTGTGTCACGACTTACAGAAACCAATGCAACCAGTCGGTATCATTGAGTCCTTAGTTTTCGGAAGATTCCACCCCCAACTTCGCCAGCGTTTGGTACCGTTTTAGTAGCAGATTATGATTAATTATGTTGAGGGGACCGCAGGGTATCAACGAGGGTGAATAGAAACACGGGGTTGACGTTATTGCAAGGTGTGTTTAAACCCTAAACTGTTTGTATTTTCTGTTTTTTGTGACTTGACGTTTTCTGAGTGTTTTGATGAGTTTTCCAGAGAATTTCGAATCTGGCGCTAAAAACCTTGCTGAGGTTTACTCCGAGTCTGGTCATCTTCAACTCTTTGATACATAGCTGCGAGAAGGTGCGAGCCTCGCTGTGCCAATGTGGCACGATCCATCCCATGATCCGGAATCCCACAACACAATGGGTATCCAAGGGGTGGGTCAAAACACCGAGTAATACTATGACCATATTTGGTGGTATAAACATCCATGAACTTAAGCTATTTTAAGGGGTACCTAGGTCACCAGGGTTTCGATCCATAACCATACCTATGAAATGGAGTGATGACTATTTCCATGGGCCGTTTGCCCAACTTTTGGCCATGGCACATATGAATATATATATATAGATACTGGTTGGTGGTTTGGAACATTTGTTGTTTTTCCATATATTTTGAAGAATCATCCCAACTGACTAATATTTTTCAGAGGGGTTGAAAACCACCAACCAGTATATATCCTGGATACCTGCGATTCTATGGATGGAGCAACTAACCACATACCGTCTTACCAGTTCCATTCACTAGGCTGATTCCCCAGGGAAATTTAACATAAGTATGGAAACTATGGGTTAATATAAGAATACGTAAATCATCTAGCTAAAAGGGCTATCTATACCATATGCCATAGCCATCTTAAATTACCAAAGGGTGCCATTGGTTCTACATGTTTATTTCCAGTTATGTCTCATTACACCAAGATTATATTGCCATATGTTGCTAGTCAAATCTCAGTAAATCCCAGTATATTCCCATCGTATTATCATTATATCCCGGAATATTCCATTGTATCACCATTATCACATATTAATCCAACTATATCCCACTATATCCCACTATATATATATATATATACATATAAATATACATCTCACTATCTAGATGATTTACCTATAAGCTATCCTCATAATATCCACATTAAATTAGCTATCCATTGTGGCTGCGATCTACCCCCGATGTTTTTGTTGGTGAATCCTATGAAATCCTACGAGACATATCAATACGAAATATCCATATGCATCAAAAATAGAAAGGTTGCATATCACCATGAAAAATATTTCCCCATGAAAAACTCCTTAAAGTGATTCTGTATCACTTTAGATCCGTCTAGTAATATCCTATGATATTCAATTATATCCGTTTTTATATCCCATAAAATATCACCACATTTGCTAGTTAGAGCCCATTACATCCCTAGTTAAATCCCATTAGTCATCCCTTGAGATCACCATATTTGCCAGTTAAATCCCATTCAAGCCCCTTCTGTTTCCATAAAAAAAATGACTTGTCTGGTGAATCCTCTGCGTTGCCAGGCCGGTTGCTGGGACTATGCCCTGGCAACGCTCGCACGTATGGAGGAGTTAGCGGTTGAAGCGAATCGAGCTGCTCGAATGATTTGATGATCGCAGTGATATAGAAGTATGAATGATTAATGATCATAAGTTTTTTTTTACTTACCTATTTTTCTGAAAATCAATTTGTTACAATGATTTGATGATGAATATATATTTGTTTTTACCACAGTAATATATGATCATGATAGTAAGAACATAATGATGGTAATAATGCCATCTGGCAAAAAAAACAACATTGTTTGCTGGAAAGTTTACCCATTCGGTGGGTGATGTTCCCACTCAGTTTCCTTCCATTAATAGATGACTGTCCATTGCCAGTAGGTGTAACATGTGTATAACATTTGAAGAACTACTATGTATTTGATTGTATAAACCACATATATGACTATCCATACTATCCATCATTCATGGATTGTAAAACATGTTTTCAGCTATGTATATTTATATCATTAATAAACTTTGTATATGGACTGTATAAACCATTTCAGATACTACTTCAATGAGTATAACCGGGTTGACCAAAGGGATGGCTTATCCGTGCAGGTCTGAAAAAAAAAAAACTAATTCCACCCCCCATGAAATGCCACATTTCCATGATTAATGTTTCCCAGGATGATTAAGGTTTAGTTTACCTGGTAAATTTCAATTTTATCAAATTATATCATGTATATACTATACCACAATTATTACTAGTACTGCTACTAGTACTATTACTATTGTCAGTAAACACTCGTGCACATCAATATCTTACATTTGATTACTCTTAGTATTCCAGTATAATTTTAGCTACGGTATTCTAAATGTTTTTAATTGTTAACACTAATCACGTATGTTATCTATTCCCATTAATTATGATTATGTTCTATCATTATTGTTATCCTTATTCTGACAATTATTTCTGGTAGTACTATTACAGGATTATTTACTACCATGTATACTAACCAGCTAAGAACTTTTCTCAATTTTGCAGGGTATTTAAGATTGGTAATATATATATATATATAGATGGGGATATCCCATATATAACTGAGGTACCTTATAACCATAGTATATAAACTATAACCATATTATATAAGTATCATATTATCACATACAGATAAACTATATCAAATAAATGTAACCATATATGTACGTATAACAATACTATAATCACGCCAACACCAAGACTTCAGACTCAGTTATGCCGCAGCTGCGGGGGTATGGCTGGGCCGCAAGAGGTGTGGCCTGATCCCAGGTTAGTGAAATATTATGATTCACCCAGATGAGTTCCACATAAATATATATATATACATATATATATATATATCAAAAAGTTCACCATATTTAACTATTATTGTCATACCCATATTAACATATATGAGCCGTATTATAAATTTACAATCATATAAAACCATAGACAACCACACTATATACTACAATCAGTATAGCTATACATTAGTATAGCCATATATATAGCCGTTAGTATATTATCAGTATTATCAACTATATTTTATAACCATACTATTAATAAGCATACATATATATATATGTGTATACAACACCATCTATAACAATCAAAAACATACATCTATTTCAACTATACAACCATATGATAGATAACCATGGATAACCATACCATGCTATGTAATAGCATATTATCATTAGTATATTACCATTAACCATACTATTAATATCACCATACTATTAGCCATATTATTCATATTATCAACTTAGTTACAACCATATATAACCATAGATAACCAAAGATAATCATAGATAACCATAGAAAACCACAGATAATCATAGATAGCCACAGATAACCATAGGTAATCATAGATAACCATAGAAAACCACATATAATTATAGATAATCATAGAAAAACTATAGATAACCATAGATAACCATAGATAATTATAGATAACCATAGAAAACCACAGATAATCATAGATAACCATAGATAACCATAGAGAACCATAGATAACCATAGAAAACCATAGATAATCATAGATAACCATAGAAAAACTATAGATAACCATAGATAACCATAGATAATTATAGATAACCATAGAAAACCACAGATAATCATAGATAACCACAGATAACCATAGAGAACCATAGATAACCATAGAAAACCACAGATAATCATGTATGACCATAGATAACCATAGATAACCATAGATAACCATAGATAACCGTAGATTACCCTAGATAACCATAGATAATCATAGATAACCCTAGATAATCATAGAGAACCATAGATAACCATAGATAATAGTAGATAATCATAGATAACCATAGATAATCATAGATAATCGTAGAAAAACCTTAGATAACCATAGATAACCATAGATAATTGTAGATAACCATAGAAAACCACAGATAATCATAGATAACCATAGATAACCATAGAGAACCATAGATAACCATAGAAAACCACAGATAATCATGGATGACCATAGATAACCATAGATAACCATAGATAACCGTAGATAACCCTAGATAACCATAGATAATCATAGATAACCATAGATAATCATAGAGAACCATAGATAACCATAGATAACCATAGATAATCATAGAGAACCATAGATAATCATAGATAATCGTAGATAATGAAAGATAACCATAGATAATCGTAGATAATCAAAGATAACCATAGATAACCAAATATTCGGACGCTCAGAGGTCACCTTGAACTCCGCCATCAGCGCCTGCGAGAAGGGCCGCCGCTGGACCATGGCGCTGCAGCTCTTCCGACGCCTCGGGTCCGACGCGGACGTGGTGTCGTACAACGCGGTGCCTGGGGGATCCCCAGGGAGATCCACAGAGGAACCATGGGAAAAATGGGGGTTTCACCAGAAAAACAGAGGAGAAATGGAGATTTGAGCAAGATTTACATCTCGATTTTATGGGAAACCTGGGATTTATGACAACTATTTTTAGCTGATTTGTGACATCCTTTGTGTGTTTCATTGACTAAGTGAATCTTGTGATTTATGGTAGATACTATATATCTGAGTAGATTATAATATTTCAATAACCCGAAATAAATTTATTCTAGGATGATTCCCCTTATGAACCATCATTGCAGGCTTCGGTCGCAGTGAGGTTTTTGTAATTTCCCCAGATATATCGAAGGACCACGGTAGATGGTTACGCTCATAGATCCATCGAGTTCATCAAAGGGGCTACAAGTACTTCAAAGGAAATTGGGGATGCATCAAAAGCAAGCTCAGCCATGTTAGATAATATATTTAATATATAATAATAATAGTAATAATAATAATAATTATTATTATATATATATAACAGTGTATATATATATATGAATTATACATGGGTCAATACCATCATATCTGAAATTGGTCTAGATGTTTGTGGAGGATTTCCATGTCGTATGTAAATGGTCCACATATGACAGATATGCCAACATGTCAGTAATAATCAATGTAGAGGTTGCTAAAGATGACATACATAGAGCATATGTAAGAGTTTGAGGAATCTAACCAACCAACCACTGGGGGTGTTCCAGTTGTTTGACCAGCAAAGATGTCGGTTTTAGCCCATGAAATGAAACTGGGGACGAGTCAAAAATCAATCCAACTGAAATAATTGGGATGCCTAGGGATGCAAGAGCAGATGTGTTTTTAGCCGCGGAAATTAGGCTTTATCCACCAATAAATCCAAAAACATGTGTATGTACATGGACTGTTTGGGTTGGTAATATGATGGAACCATGTTAAAATTCTCAATGATATCGCCAGTGATATCAGTGATATCTCGGTAATTTGTTACTATTTGGTATTGGATGTTATTGGGTATCGGTATATTTTCATTGGTTTTGGTTACATCTACAATTGTTGTTGATTAATGGTTTATATTTGTCCCACTAGTTGACTGATGAGTTCACACAACCACTTAACGGAAGGGACTACCAATAAAGGACCATTGTTGATGTTTAAATCGCTAGAATCATTAGAATTGACGCTTTCACAGGGACCAAGGCAAAACGTGGTCCAACATGGTACACCGAGCAGTAAACAACAACCAACTATCAACAATTTGGGGGGTGCATAAGCCCGCAATTGGGATGGTTTATTATTGCTCGGTTCATGTTTGGGAAACGCAAAAAAAATGAGGGAAAAGGTTAGAGGAGCCGAGGGTACAGATTTAAATCCACTTCGTTTGGAGTTGAACATGCTGAGCACGGACCCAGATTAGGTGTACTTCATTCTTTACCTCATGAAAAACTGCCGTAACCTTGGTTATGAATCCCATCCTCCTAATCCAAAACATTCCAATTCTATGGTCCCAAAGATGAACATCATCCCATCATCCCATCATCCCATCATCCCATCATCCCATCATCCCATCATCCCATCATCCCATCCCCTTTCTTTTTACCATGGTTTAGGAGGCCTGTCTAGGGGGAAGGGATTATCCCAGTAAAAATGTCTAGCCGCTAGGCACTCAGCGCTCTGGAGAAGTCGGGGCATTGGCAACATACCTTGCTCCTCGGTAATCAAACATGGCTGGCTGGAAACTCCACGATATAACTACATGACACTCAATGGAGGTTTCCTAAAATAGGGGTACCCCCAAATCATCCAACTTAATGGGATTTTTCATTATAAACCATCTATTTTGGGGTACCCCCTGGTATGGAACACCGAAGGTTTATAGCATGGATTTTCCGTGGCGTTATTTTATTACCAGATGATAAATGGTAGTAGCAGTAGCATATCAACACCACTCAAAATCTTGATTACAAAGAAGGCAAGCATCCGCTATCCCCACAATACAGTATGCATACCTGGAAACTGCGAGAAATTCCAAGAAACGATAAACGGATTTGGACAGTATTTGTCCCACCGGATTCCTAGAAATGTTCAGGGACTCATAAGCATCCAGCTGAAGTCACGGTGGTTCTTCTTGACGTATAGCATGAAGAATCAGCTGATCGACCTTTTCGACCCACGAACCACAACCCAACGAATGTGTAGAACTATTATATATATATATTTATATATATATATACACATTATATATCATTATATACACATATCACCTACCGGAAGTTTACCAGTTCGCTATAGAACCTGGTGCTTATATATATATGTATGACTTACCTACTAAAGATATTTCAAGATGCTGATTTTCCATAGCATACCTTAAATTACCACAGAGTATGAACATAGCCCAGCTGTCACTCCCAAATGGGTGGACTCCCGCCCAGCCCAGCCCAGGCTTCTGCTGGAGCAGATGCTGCAAGAGTCCGCGGGGAACTCTGAGGTGTCCCCTGATGATGTGACTTTGGAGAACATGTCAATGGATTGGTTTAAGGGAAAATTTACAGGAAACCATAGATTTTCCCATTAAATATGGGGCTTTCCTGTAAATTTTCCCTTAAACCAATCCATTGAACATGGATTTCTGGATGGTGTCCCCATTTCTGAATCCCTTTGAAATGGATTGATGACAATTTCCCGAAAAAAGGGCCATGGCTGCCCAACTAAAAAGGCCATGGCACATATGAATATTTTGGTTGGTGGTTTGGAACATGGCTTATATTTTCCCATATATTGGGAATAATCATCCCAACTGACGAACTCATATTTTTCAGAGAGGTTGAAACCACCAACCAGATTTTTTGAAGGGACGTGAGAAATACACATAGAAATACACCATTTGCAAATTTGGGGATATGTTCTGGAAATGAAAATGAAGTGACTCATGGATTTGTTTAAGAAATACACCATTTGGACATGATAAGGCGAAGAAACACACCTTATTGGAAACTACACCATTTGGAAAATAGACCCTTTGGAACATCGGGGATATAGATTTTCTTTTGTTTGGGGCCCCGAAGCAAATCCATGGGGATATATACCCAGCAGCTTAGTGGGTGAATTGGAATGAGGCCCCATTTGCAAGTAGCATTTGGACATTTTGCTATTTACGATATGGGGAAGTACCCTAAAACCTATGGGTTTTAGTTTTGTAAAGTCAAAAACATAGTCCTTCTGTGGATGATTTTGGACTCCCATCGAGGAAAATCCTAGTCCTGATTTGGTGAATGGATCTATTGTTTTGAATGACTGACTGAAGGTCATGATCCCCACCGTGGCATTAATAAAAATGCTGAAATTCTATTAATGTCATGTAAAAATCTGACATGTTGCTATTTGACATTCTATTTGACATTGTACCTATAGCATTCTGGCATTCTACTAGTATGTTGTGTTCCTGTTTGACATACATCATGGTATTCTATTTGACATGTTCTCTGCCATATATTCAATTCTGACATGTACTCTGACATCTGACATTCTATCTAGCATTCTATCCAGAATTCCTACCCGACATTCTATCTAGCACAGTTCCCTTGAACCTGAAAAAAATGCAAAACAGGACGGGACGTTTTTCTCCGTTGATCTAAATGGGCATACACGGGAGCACCCGTGCCGATGGTCAACACATAGCCGCTGATCATGGGTTCATCCTCTCGCCAGAGGATCGTATAACAAAAAACATCAAATCAATCACTTCACTGTTTACTAAGGAAAGTTTAGTTTTTATCATTTAGTCCACACATTTGCCAAATTTTGGCAATTTTTATGGTTAGATTGACTAGTGGAATCCTCGTTTTCAATGCCTCCCACGCTCCAGCCCACGGTTTTCGTCGCCACTGAACAGGGGGGAAAAACGTGGCAAAACTTACCATGATGTAATGGCCATGCAATAGGAACCCCAATTGGAAGTACTTACCATATATAAGGCTTATATAAGGCCTCTATGTAAGGCAATATCCCCACAAAATATGGTCTTATATGGTACAGTACAGTACCTCCGTTTTAGGATCCTGAAATTCCCATTGAATGATATCTTGCCGAACCCCTTGAATCCTGGGGCGTTGGGAGCAACACTGAATGCTGCTATGAATGAAATGAGGCTGACTATCCTGTTGTCATGTGAGGTTGACGGATGGGTAATGATGGCTTTTAGACATCAAAGATTGTATGCTCAATGCAAAAAACCTGCGTACACCTTGAGGATTTTCATCTCACCTATGATTTCATCAGATCCCATTGCTAGATGCCATGCACAAACTCCGGGCCTGAGCGTCTCTGCGGTTCTTTGAGAATGCACCATTCCCACTCAGAGTTGGACCGCCATGTTGGCGTGTTAGCTGCTTTTTTATCGCTATGGCTATGTGTAATTGTGACTTTTTTCGGTTTTTGATACCCCAAAGTCCAATTCAGGTAACCTTCAATACAGCCATCAGTGCTTGTGTCCCTTGGCGCGCGAGAGTGGGCGATGACTGGAGTTTTAATGAGAAAAAAAGGGAAATTGGGGTTGTCAACCAACCAAAATGAAGTTGAGCCTAGGTTAAAACGTATGATTTTCTCATTGTGAATGGGGGATGTCAATAGCCAATTATGGTGTTTTTCAAGACAGAAGATTCCAAGACTTCCACCCCAGACGCGAACATTACGTAGCGGATCATCAAGACCGTGGCCATGACCATAACCCATTATGGCTGGAGCCATGGTGGAATATGAATCCCAACAGTTGCCCTTGCCCAAAATCATCCAGTTTTGTAGGTAAATATACCAGCACCATGGAGCATATGGGTAATCATGATTATGATAACTGATGACGATGATTATGGCAGTCTAGAAACGAAAGAAACTATTCCCGCTTTTCTTATCCATGCTCAATATTCAAATTCTCGGCCATCTACTTGCAAATGCAGTTCCACAAAAAAAAGTGGATATATAATGATATATATATATATATATTTAAATACATATATAATTATAACTATAGCTTTATATAGAATGCTTTGGAATGCTTTAGATACTGGGGGGGCCCATATCCCAACTTCTCTTGTTGTAGACATCGCATGACATCGCTGTCGCCCCGTTATTTCAGGCCAAAGAAGAGAAGTGGCAAGCCGCCCTGGCGTTGTTCGAGAAGATGCAATGTGTTTTGGTGAAGCAAAATGAGGATGGCTATGATGTGGATATGAGGTATATGGAATACCTCAACTTTGTCAACTGATAGTGGTTAATAAAATATAATGATTCATTAATCGTTAATCATGGTTAATATGTACGGGGATATAGTTGTCAGTCAAAACCCTGGCACCTGGATGGCACCCGGATGTTTATTCCCCCAAAAAAACAAAAATATTAGGTTGACCCCTCCCCATATAGTTAATCTGCATATGGAATACCCCAGGAAAATACGTGGAATACCGGAATACCCCAGTTTAAGAATGGTTGAGAATGGTTTGTATGGTTTTGTATAATTTTTAGTGTGAATACAATGGAACTTAAGTGGCAAATACGGGAATACAATGAGAATACAATGGAAGATCCTCAGCTATATCAATGGAATATCCCCAGTTATGTGGGCCAAATATATGGACATATATCTCAAGATGATATTTTCTTAATAGTTATACAATACCGGGTTCCGGTATATGGATGAATTAGCGTGACCACACTGTGACGTCACAGTAATGACGGTTAGGATTTGGGCAACCATCAAATGGCCGTATGATAACATCTATGTTCAGGTTGGTGAATGATTATGATTCAACCACACAATATCAATAGGATATAACTTAACCAACGGTTCTAGGTAAAGCAATTGGAACGGGGTATTACCCATCCAAAGCGTGGGGTTATATAAATAACCAAGAAAGTATATATGGAAGTAATTGGGGAGAAAAATCGTTGAAACCAACTGTTGATGAGTCTTGTAGTACCACATCTTTTTTTTGCATGCAGGGGAGCAGTTCTAATCATATGCCATATACTACTAGTTGATGTGTGGGATATTATTAACCAGCCAGAATGAGATATTAGTAACCAACAATGGATTCTTTATCCTGACAGACCAAGCTAGACAAACAAACCAACTGTTTGCTGGGTGGGATAATACCAACCTTGGCTTTGGTTCGTTAGTACTCAATGGATCGTACTGTAATATTCCGTCAATATTTTGCCATGAAAATGATCGGAAAAACATATCAATAACCAGCTAAAACAAGATTAAACACGCCATTGGGCCCAATGTTTTTTTGACCCCTGACCCTATTTTTTTAACCCCTGCCTGTTTCTTGAACCCCTGGACACCTGTTTTTCTGACCCCTGGTTTTTCTGACCTCTGACCTTGTTTTTTTTCACCTCTTACCCCCCTGTTTTGTTGACCCCTGAGGGTGTTCTCTTGACCCCTTGTCAAGTTTTCCTGACCCCTTGTCTTGTCTTTCTGACCCCTAACCCTGTTTTCCTGAGCCCTTCCCCCCCCCACTCTTCTTGAACCTTGTGCTGCGCCGGGGTGTGTGCTTTTTGCTGTCCACTTGAACTCGCCTTCCTTTTTCACAATTTTATCTTTCCTACATTCGGCCTACGTGCCTTAACTGGCTTCCACGAAAGATGCCTTCACTGGCTGCCTTGGGTACCGTAGACTGCCTTGACTGGCTCAATTGCCTTAACTGGCTGCTTACCTGCCTCAGCTGGCTGCCTTCACTGGCTCAACTGCCTTAACTGGCTGTTTACTTGCCTTAACTGGCTGCCTTCACTGGCTGCCTTCACTGGCTCAACTGCCTTAACTGGCTGCTGGCCCGCTTGCCTTAACTGGCTGCCTTCACTGGCTAAACTGCCTTAACTGGCTGCTTGCTTGCCTTAACTGGCTGCCTTCACTGGCTCAACTGCCTTAACTGGCTGCTGGCCCGCTTGCCTTAACTGGCTGCTTGCTTCCCTTAACTGGCTGCCTTCACTGGCTCAATTGCTTTAACTGGCTGCTTACTTGCCGAACTGGCTGCCTTCACTGGCTCCACTGCCTTAACTGGCTGTTTACTTGCCTTAACTGGCTGCCTTCAGTGGCTCAACTGCCTTAACTGGCTGCTTGCTTGCCTTGACTGGCTGTTGACTGGCTCAATTGCCTTAACTGGCTGCCGGCCCGCTTGCCTTAACAGACTACATACCTGTAAGATCAAATTGTAGCAAAAATACTCGCCGAGTAATTTACTCGCCCGTGTAAAATTTACTATCGAATCATGAAGTAAAATTACTCGAAATGTTGCCGAGTAATTTTTTACTCAAGAAGAGAAAGCGCAATGAACACATTGCAGTTTGCAATGCCCACATTGCAGTTTGCAATGTTCATTTTTTCTCACAAATGTCCACATTGCAGTTTGCAATGTCCACATTGCAGTTTGCAATCAAAAAAATTATCTTCCGACTAAATCTACATTTAGTCGCCCGAGTAAATTTAGTCGGAATGTAAATTCAGTCGGAAAATTTAGTCGTTGACGACGGAATTTAGTCGAATGTAAAAAATGTAAAAAACTGTTTTTGACTAAATTTAATCGGCGAGTATTTTTACTACAATTTGATCTTATAGGTACGGAACTGCCTGCGAACAGTTTTCAGCCATGCTGGTTAACCGCGTGGTGCGCTTCAAGCCTTCAACTGGACTTGTCAGAGAACAAGTTGTTGCTGCGGAGCGTTTCGATGGCTTCACTCAGCTCGCTACGAGCAGCTGGGCGGCATAAGAGTTCCAAGCTCGGATCATGGAGGGTTGTTGGCATTGATCCCGGAAGGCAATGAAGCAGTTAATGAGTGAAGTAGAGGTGGCCCACGGCTGATGGGGCCACGGTGTTTCGGTGGTGAGCTGGGTGGGGGTGTGACGTTGACTTGCCTGCTTACATGCGTGTGATGCTAAGCTGTAAAATCTTGACTTGCACGTCTACAGGAATTTGAGACTACCCTGAAGGATCTTCATTATCTTCATTCGCAGGTCGACATGAGTTTGGATTCTCCGCAGCTTGCAACACGAGGGGCTCATGCCAGCCGAGGCCATCATTACCAAAGACATTGGACACGGAGTCGCCAACCTGATTGCTGCGGAAGGGAAAGAGTTGGAGAAATGGCTCGGTGAAAGCGGCATCGCCCAAGAAGATGAACGGACTGGCAGCAAGCGTCTAGACTTAGACAACTTGCGCGCAGCCTTCACAGACCATTGTGCTGTGATGGCAGGGCATTTGCCCTGTTCATGCTGGCCACGCCTACACCGCAAGGTCAAGGAACCATTTCCCACCGTAGTGTGCACCTGCGTTGAATTCTTGATGCACGGGGAATGTGAGAACGTTATCTTTGTCAAGGCGTTGGGCAACAACACCTTTGCGGCGATGCTGGGAAAAATGCCCGTGGTCGCAAAGAAGGGCCGCAAAAGGAAAATGGAAGGATCCAAAACTGCGAGGCCAAAAACGAAGCAGAAGAAGGCCAAGCCCGTGCCTTGACAGCAAAACAAACGGCTTTGCAACGTAAGTAAGCACACACACAAAATATGCAGTGCACATCTGGCAAATAAGGCGAGACGATGAAGAAAGCTGGAGATTTGATGCCCGCCCTGGAGCGAAAATAGGGGCGGACGCCAGCACAGTTTCAGTTTGTGCAATGTAGGAGGCATGTTTCAAAACGTGTTTCGAAAATAACACAAAAAAGGGTCAACGATGCGTGTCATGCCACAACCAAGCATGCAGGCCTCAACTCAAACCCACGCTCACTTCAGTGTTTGAAACCTTCTTGCTCACTCCTGTTCAAGTTGGACCCGCTTCTTTTCATTCTCCATTGATCCAGACCACGCGTAGAAAACCGAGAGGCGCGGCTGGGAACGAAATACAGCTTGAACAAAGATTGACTGACTTACAAGAAATGGCGGGGGTATTATCTGATCCGGTGCCCGTCAGAACAAAAAGTGTGTGTACCGTACGGCCTTAGCCGCCGTGGCCCTAAGTGTAGGCGGCGCTTCAGCATCCTGGCTGGTCGCTATTCTCTGGCGTTGTGCTGCTGTTTGGCTTCGTGTTTTTGGTAACTGCGCCGGCTGCGCAAAATTAAGGGTGGGCGGGTAGAATTTAGATTCCGATTCAGAAACGAAGCGCGTAACCATCAGGCTTGGCCGCGTGTTTTTGGTACTGGCGCTTGGCTTTCAAACCCAAAAAGTTTTACCCCGCCCGCCCGCCCTAAATGTCGGCGGCGCCGCTGCCAAAAACACGGAACCAAGGGCCCAAGACGAGGCTGTCACGGGCCAAGCAAACATGCCCAGGGGTCAAGCAAACAGGTCCAGGGGTCAAACAAACAGGTCCAGGGGTCAAACAAACAGGTCCAGGGGTCAAACAAACAGGTCCAGGGGTAGAAAAACAGGTTAGGGGTCAAAAAAACAAGGTCAGGAGTCAAAAAAAACAGGTTGCCCTACGCAATTTTTTGAAGGGCATCTAAGATCGACCATGACGTGTGTTTTTTGTTGGGGAAGCGTGCTGTCGCGATATCTATACTTCATATATCGGTATCGTGCGTTGAATTATGAGATATGAAGATGTGACGGGTATTTACCCCATCATTCAAGCCTACAGATTGAGGTTTCCTAAAACGGGGGTACCTCTAAATCATCCATATATAGAAGACCTGTAGATGAGCTCAGGTTCAGAAGTTGCCGCTGATGAGATCACATACAACTGCTTGGCCAGCGCATGTGAATCCGAGCAATGGCAATCGTCTCTCTTCCTCTTGCTGCACCCTGGCTTTGTCTGGGACATTGGAGGCTCTTTTCCCATTGGGACAGATGAATGCATGGAAACAAAGCACGGGAACAACTAAGACTGAGACTAAAAACATGGTGTCACGTATTGAACAACCAAAAACTGACATACACATAGTCATTTACAGAGACATAGCCCTTTACATATACATAAGATATACATACGTATAATATGTACATACACATATACATAAACATAATCCTATACAGAAACATATCATGCATATACATATCCACATCTATATCCATAAACATGTACTTTACATGTAAATTATATATACATAATATATATATATATATTATATTATATATCTTATGAAATTTATATAATATATATATAATATTATGTACATTATATACATTATATTTTATATATTATATATAATATATTATATTATATATATATATTAAATATTGTTATTTATATTTTTATATAGTATATCATTTTTTAAATGTTATATAATATTTATAAATATATATATATATACTATAATATGTATTTATTATTTATTTTAATATGTATATTATATGTATACATAAATTATATATATGGTCTATACTATATATATAATATATATTAATGATATATATATAGTATATAATATATATATTCTATATATATATATAATATTTATTATATATACATTTTTAAAATTTATGATATTATATATATATATAGTTCTATTTTACATACATACATACATACATACATACATACACATTATATACCCATATGCTCCATGTATGGTATATTTACCTACATTTGGATGATTTTTAGGGCAAATGTTGGTAAATATTCCATACATGGAGCATATGGGATATACATACATATATACGTTCATGGGTAAATTATAACAACCTCACTGCGACCTCACTGGAATCATGCTTAATACGGGGAATCATCCCCAAATGGCCTTAATTTAGGGTAGTGAAATATTGCAATTTACCCATATATATATATACACAATGATTACATAGTTTAATATATAGACTAATACACTAATATATATATATTACTACATTATCACATCTATTTCATCTATTAGATTATGATAGTCTAACACATAACTGGTTGGTGGTTTGGAACACGTTTTATTTTCTATAATAATATGGAGTAATCCTTCCCATTGACTAATATTTTTCAACATGGTTGAAACCACCAACCAGATAAATATATCCACACTGCGGCCTTCCTCTCGCCACCTCCAAGGCAAGGCTCGGACGCACTGCATCTGGCGCTGGCCGGCGAAGTGCCGGAGCTGACGTCCATGGAGTGTTCGCAGGCCGCCATGGCGCCACAAAAATGGCCAGAAATCATAGTGAAATCATGGTTGAAATCATATTTGGGTGATGGTTATGTAGAGTCATGTAGAATAGGAGTGTAATTATGTAGAGTTATGTGTATTTGTGACCCGATGTATTGCATTGAACATGCTCTTGCTACAAGTTCAATGCATCTGCGAAGGTTTCCGTTTTTTTGCTGGTTCCACCCCCTACTTTTGTTGTTAACTAATTTTCCATTGATATTGGCTAACACCACAATCAAATACAGCTCCAAGATTCCATATGATCTCCAATATCATCGAAATACATCCCAATCTTCATTCATCTTAAAATCATGAGAATTCAATTCATTACCGTGAGTACATTGCTAATTTATTATTTTTCTAAACATAATGTATAGTTACTCTATACTCAACTTGATATGACGTACTCAGTTTGTACGAGATGATCATGATTTATATCATCATTTGGCATTGTTTCCGATGACAAACAAATTTGGGGACGCCAAGTTATTTTCCGAGATAACTTATTATTTCAATCGGGAAACCAATTGTTTGGGGTACCGTGATTCTAGAGAAAGAGCGTAATTATGAGTTGAAACCTCATTGAATTACCCTCTGGTTATTTAACATAGCCATGGAAAATGGCCCATAGAAATAGATTATATTCCCATTAAAAAACTTCCATTTATAAGGGATTTTCCATGGCTATGTTAAATAACCAGATGGTAGTTTGATATATTGCAGTAACCATGGATCCGAGCGAGTTAGCCTAGTGACATAGGTGATTACCAAATGACCATTTAATTCACCTAACAATCCACACTTTTGCAGGTTTAATCCCCATTATGGTTGGTTACTGCAATGTGTATATAAATATATATGATTATTGAAAGGCAGCAATCACCCATATTACTGTCCGGTAATCAAAGATGGCACTGGAAATCCCCCCGTGAATTCCTTCGATGATTTGCCCATTCAAATATCAATTTTATTTGGCTTCTCCAATATTCTATAGTTCCAAAATCATGCAAATATCAATTTAGTTTGGATTTTCCAATATCCTATAGTTCCAATATACTATAATTTCCTTTGTTTTCTTCCCATATTTGATAGGGCATTTCCAATTGCTCACCGGGTACTCCACTCATTTTTCGGTCAGGTGCTGTGGCGCTTGGCGAAGCTACGACGATTGGGTGTTTCGAGCCAGGTGACATGCCTAAAAATTACAGAATTTCAAATGGTTTCACTACGCTTGATGACCTAGGTCTCAATGGGAGTAAATGCTATTGTTTTTTTTTACATGGTTCATCGAAATTGCTGGTGTTTGGATGGTTTCAGACAAGAAACATTCATATTTCATCACTCTCTGAGGATATCATCATACATCTATTTGACAACTTGGAATTTGGGTGAGGTTCAACGTGATGTTTACCTATATATTTTCACCCCAAAAAAAACATGGATCTGAATAGGTACGACTGCCAGGTAAGGTGGGTGCCATCAATACATTGGGAAGCTTCGACCTGACTGGCCAAGCTCATGCCAAGTTCTTTGTATTTTGTGGTTTTTAGACGTGGAATTATCAAAAAAAGATATGGCCAAGTGAATCTGAGTCAATATCATTGTATAGCTATATACAGCTCTGAATGGTGTTGATCAGTGTCTGAAGCTAAAATTTCAAAATCTAGACCTCCCAGTAAGGGTTTCCCTCCCGCCGTTTCATTTCCAGAGATGTACATACGGATCATAATTGGCAAATGCGTTGGTTGTAATCCGTGATTGATTGTCACAATCTGCGGATTTTGGAGCGTCGCATCCACGTCAAGAAAACACATAGAATGATGGGCCCAAACTACTAATACATGGAGGCTATAAACAGACTTCTTTCCCAGTCGTCGACCACACGCCAGTTTATATCAGAGTGTGACCAAGAGTAATTATTGTAAATCCCAACCCCCATCAGTACAAGTTACACTTCGGATACCCTTTGGTAAACTAACATAGCTATGATAAATCACCATCTTTATTAGCAACATCAACCATATTACCATTGCTTATTTTCAATTTCAATATATAGCTGTCTTAGTTGTTTTAAATTCAGGGTTTACTGGCTATATTATATATATATATAATATTATATACTGTTTGGTGGTTTGAAAAAAATCATGTTTCCATATTGCGAATAATTATAATCATCCCAACTGACTTTCATATTTTTCAGAGTGGTTGAAACCACCAACCAGATATAAATCAACTATGATTGGGGAATACAATATAAATTCTATAACCATATATAGTCCATATTTAGTTGGAGGAATACTATATAACCATAACCAGAACTATATATCCATTGCTGGAGGAATACTATATAACCATATATGCAGCCCCCTTTGTGTTGGCAACGTGAAAACTACCACAGGTCGTAGGGAGCGCAGCTCGGTCAGTTGCCGCCTCAGTGGATGTGAAGGAGTTCCATCTGCAGGAGCTCGGGGAGCTGCGCTTGCCACGGTTTGATGAGCGAAGGTTAGCATGAAAGGGATCTACATCACAATTCAATATACTTTATATATACTATATATACATATATATATATATATTCTACTTAATATCTATATATAACATACAGTAATGTACATATATATATATATTTATATAATATCTCTATATATATTTATACTATAAGTTTACTATCATCAAGCCTGAAGCACCAATAATCATTGGACGAACATGGAAAGGGATTGGAATGCAATTACCATATTTGTTTTTATCATTTCCAAAGTGTTTGATCGATAAGCTCTTGATTCTCACCAACCATGATACAGCGACTTATTGTGTGGTCATTGCTGGGGTATATCTCTATTGATCTTCTCCGCATGCTCTGTTTGAATTAGCCATTTTCCACATCAATTATCTCATGATCTTTACCTCTTCATGCATCAAATAGTCCATTTTCTCACAGCCAACCTTTGTTCTTAAGCATCATCGGTTGGATATCCCATACACATAATATATATGTATATATGTATATATACACACAATTTTATACATAATACATATAGATAGATTATAAACGTATTGCGTAATATTATCACCATTTTTTGTCAGAAAATCCTCCAGCCATCCACCATCTCCACCATCTCCATCATTACCTAGATATCTTATGCAGAATTATATAAAGCAATATACATGCATACGTACGTACATACATACATACATACATTCATACATGCATACATACATACATACATGCATGCATACATACATGCATACATACATATATATGTATATATATGTATATATATATATATATATGTATATCTGTATATGCATATATATATATATATGCATGTATGTATATATGTATATATAAAAAAAATATATATATATATATATATATGTATATAAATCTATATATATATATATATTTATGAATATGTATATAAATATACATTTGTGTAAATATATAATATACATATTTATATTTATACACATAGTTTTAATGATCATGATTATTGTTTTTCTTAATGATTGTACTATGATTTATATTATCATTCATCAACAACAATTCGCAAAATCCATCCATCCCCAGGAGCTCATCTCCAGCCTTTGGTCCCTGCGAGCCCTGGGTGCCGGTGCCACTGCGCCCTCGCTGCGATCCCTTCGTCGCGACCCGCGGCTGCGCGGTCTGCGGGGCCTGGGCCTACGACACCTGGCGATGCTGGGGAAGGTCCTGGCGGAAAGCCAAGAGGCCGGGCCCGGGAAGAGATTGCGCCAATATACCAGCCATAAAGATGTGTTTTTTTGCCGGGGATGGTTTATTATTGGGTTTATATATATATAATTATAAATATATATATATATATTTTTTTATTTAGTTATTTATTTATTATGAATATATATATATATATACATATGTGCACCTTCTGTTTTATTGAAGCTATGGAAAATCATGATGTTTAAGGGGTAATTCATCAAATTTATCATTTATTGGCAGTTTTTTCATAGTTATGTGAGATAACCAGAGGGTAGATAAAAAATAATTAGGGATATTTGGATGAAATCAATTTTGAAATTTCTGGATGTTGACTTTGACATTGTTTTTGTTGGTGGATTTAAGGAGCGAAAATGATGACTTAACCAACAGAAATGGTGGTATAATCAGCATATAACGGGATATTATGGAATGGTGGTCTTTTAATCACCTCGAGTTTGTCGGATTTAGAGTTTCCATTGCCTCCCAGTCTGCCCAATTTATTCTTAAGCAACTCCAGGCGAAGTTCCAAAAACTGGATCATAAAAAAAAACTGTCGAGTGCAACAGTTTAATCAGTCATCGCGAACATATTGGAGGTCTGAGCTGATTGGTGTCATCTACTGTGATCACAAGGTCTACGATAGGAATCCATGGCCGGAAAGCGTTTTTTGTTTGGCAAAAACAGCAAGTCGAAACCCCAAAGTCTTAACTCTAAAGCCCGTAAACCCAAACTCTAAAATCCTAGATCCTGGAAACCTAAGTCCAAATCACTGCGCATAGCCATCCAAAATCCAACGGATTACGATGATTGCCCCCATTAAATGGCTGGATGACATACCCAATTTTTAGACACCCCCATATGTTTTCATAAACTATACAGGGATGTAAAGAATTGTGGCATGGTTGATGGTGAAAAATGTTGGCGATTAACCAAAGAAATCCACTTGGTGGATGTTGTTTTGGTCGGTTAAACCATCTCTAGCCTGCCTTTTTTTGTTCCTAGATTTCTCGTTTCTTGTTGGTCAACGTTCTGCTACATACGCAATGACCCAATGGCAATCTGCCAATTTGGACGAAATACCTCTGTTTATTCAACAGTTCGCCATGGTATAGATGGCCCATAGAAATAGATGGTTTACCTAACTATAAACATGGAAAATTGCCCATAGAAATAGATGGTTTACCTAGCTTTAAACATGGGTGGATCTTTCCATGGCTATGTCTGTTAGTTAAATAACCAGAGGCTATATGGTTGATATAACGACCCCACTGGGACGACCCCACTGGGACGGTCGGATTTTCGTCAGGGCAACTGATGCCCTTAAAGTTAGAAATCTGACCTGATTTTAGATGAGCTAATATCATTTTAGATGAGTGAATATCATGAGTAAAGTTTTTTTCATGACCACATTGACGGAATGTGTGCTATATGAACAGCAATAGTGACTAGTGGATACACGTTGTTTTTTGTTACACAGACGATCAACAATAACCATTAAAATATATTACTGGTTGGTGGTTTGGAACATTTTTTATTTTCCAAAATATATGGGATGTCATCCTTCCATTGACTTCATATTTTTCAGAGGGGTAGGTCAACCGGTCAACCACCAACCAGATGACAACAATGGAAACTCAATGGACCATATTCACCCACCCCAAGCAAACTCTTAGATTACGCGGGCGCAACATCATTTCTACAGTATCGATCATATTCTATCATGACATATGCCTGCTATACTGGTTGGTGGTTTGGAACCATGGATTTTTATGATTTTCCATACATATATATATATTGGGAATTCATAATCCCAACTGACGAAGTCCATCATTTTTGAGAGGGGTAGGGCTCAACCACCAATCAGATATATACTGATATATGTGTACATATCCCAACACATTCCCCTGATATCCCCATTATCTTGGCATATGTTCCGCAGAACTTGGCGCATGAGCTCCACCTGGTGCTGCAGCTGGTCATGTCGATGGGGAATTCCATGTGGAATTCATTGGGGGTTTCGGAAAATGGGGGGACCCGAAATGGATGACTGGGGGTACTATGACTTTGGAAACCACCATTTAATTTCACATGTCGATTTTGTGGTGGGGATTTGAATGTCACATGCTTTGAGACGACGTCGAACTACAGTCAAATGAAGACAAAAAACATGATAAACATGGATGAACCATAAACATCAACAAACCACCATAGATATCTATTATCTATTCATATCCCTAAATATCAATAATTATGAGAAAGATGAGAATATGCCCCATATCAAGGAAAACCACCAATGCGTCGAAAAAAACCAACGGTGCAAGGTGTGAAATGCTGCGGCGTGTGGAGAGCTTTCCGATTCGCTCTCTGTCGGACGCCGTGCCTTGGGCGGAAGCAGTCGGACTGCTGCACCGTCTGATACCTACAAACACTTGGGGGTTTCCATAAAGGGGGTTTCCATTGGGGTATTCAATGGTATTTATTTGGTGATCTAATGGGATTTTATAGTGATTCAATGGGATATTAATGGGATATACCCTCTGGTCATTTGTTTCCATAAATGGGCGTGCCCCAATAGCTGGATGGTTAAAAGGGAAAATCCGAAAATAAAAATGGATGATTTAGTGGTACCCCCATTTATGGAAACCCCGAATTGTGCCAATGCACATTTACGTTCTTTTATATTTCTGTTTTATGTATGTTAATGTTGGAATATGTTGATTCTCATGCACAACTTGCCACACTTTCAAAGACAGTTGTTTGATGCCGAGGTTGTGACCAAGATGGCCACCGTTTTTCAGAGTGAACGGATCCCAATTTTGACCCATACCCGATGACTGAAACTCCATGGTGTTTCTCGATAGGTGGATTCATATGTTTTATCATCCCAACTTTGGGTAGCTGTAAATTCCAATACAGCTTGACACCAGGTCAAGTTTTAGGATTGTTTGACATGTTGACGCCATATTTAAAAAACACACATATATATATATATATATATGATGCAAAGTCACAATCCCAAGAATGTGTTTGTTTGCCCAAAAACAAGCACCACTTGTGCCATGGTCAAAACATGGGTTATGTTCCTATACAAGGGGATGGTCATCAATCCGATATTAGGCATTGGTGTACCCAGGCATTGGGGGAATCCCCAATTCAAAACGATGGTGGGCCATCCGTTTGCCAGCTATTTTGATGTGTTTCACAGCAGGGTATGGATGTGAAACAGGACATGTATGGACCCATACTTGGGGTTGCAGTTCCAGTCAATACCCTCTGGTAAACTAACGTAGCTATAGAAAATCACCGTTATTAATGGGTAAATCAACTATAAATAGCGGTTATCACCATAGCTTGCGGTTTGATGAAGATCTTGCAATGTTCCATCAAGATTGAACATTATTTAAAGTTTAAAGATTGAGCATTAAGATCTAGCCAGTTTTCTTGGCCAAGCATTGAAACATTGGCGCCAATGATAGTTTTTAGTATTTTTCAATCCGCCCTAATATTTTGGTTTTTGTCCGACCCATTTATATATGATCATAATTTCTTGGATTTACTAACATTAGATCATCATAAATAAATATTGATCATAAATATTTCATTATCATCAAATATTGCATTACTAACATTAGATCATCATGCCATGGGCAATGGGGATGGGTCAAAAACAAAAGGACAGATTTTTGGGTGACTGTCACCACTGGAGTGGTGACATTAATACAAAATTCACGATGTTTGGTATGAAAACCATCATGACATACCCATTAGATTAATACCAAATAATCATGAAACGCCATGTATTAACCACCATATTTATCAACCATCATGAAATATCATGAAGCATCCATTTTCGGACCCAATCTTTGACCCATGCCATGTTTCCTCCCATCTGGGCCAGGCCCTAAAGGAACTCGCCACGGCAGCTCTGTCGCTGATGTCGCTCAGCGCGAGAAGTTGAATCCACCCAACAAAAAGGCAGATTTCGATAGATTTCCTAGGCAATTCTTAGGCAAAAATGTGGACTTGATGTATCTTTATGTCACTTACTGTCGCAAAAATGGAAGTGATATTCTGTCAACAAATGTAGAGACAATATTGGGCAATGGTGTTTGTATCTTTAACTGGCCAACATTTGGGATTTGAGTAATCTAGACAGATAAAACAAAACAAAACTACATCTACATGTGTATAATATGATATATTGTGTGTATAACCGGAGCAATTTGGAGCCACCCACGGTGAATCTCCCGAATGGGAAATTCACAGAGTTCAGATGCCCCCACAATAATA